GGTTGCAGCGTGGGGGAGGGCCGGGTGGGCGGGAAGGGCTGAGTGATCTGTGGATGGAAGCAGGCGAGTGTTCGGCAACTCTGCTGCCGGGTGTGCAGCGGCGGCGAGCGCCAGCGACAGGGTGACTCATGCCAGGCTCGGCCCCCACTCCTCCGCCTGCCCGCAGCTGGGAGGCCCTCGCCACCCGCCCTGTCGAAAGCCTTGCCCCCTCCCTGGCCGCCCACCGACTTTGCTGCGAGCGAGCTTCTGGCTGCCATACAGCGCCGGGACGTCGGTGCACTTGGTGTCCTCGCACGTGAGAACGATGTTGACCCCGGGAAGCTTCTTGGCGCCTACGTCCCTGATCGCCATCTCCACAGCGGCCTGCACCGCCCTGCCAGTGTTGGCCTTGCTGCCTGTGAGGGGCACGATGCAGCCGATGCGCAGTTCCCCTCGCGAGCCGATGGCTGCAGGTGCCTCCGCCACTGTCGCGACGGGTGTACCATTGACGGAGGCTGCCGCAGCCGCAGGCTTTGGCACAGCCTTGGCCACTGCGGCCGGCGCGGGCTGGCGCGCCTGCACAGGGCTCACACCAGGGGCTGCAGCTGTTGTGTTTGCAGGCGGCGCGCGCGCAGCAGCTCCTGGCGCCACCAGCGGCAGCACTGGCAGGCCAACGGCGCGCGGGCCTGGCGAGGGGCTGCCGGCGAGGCTGGTGGCATCCGCAGTCGTGGCGAGCAGCAAATGCAGCAGCAGCGCTGCAGTCAACAGCGCGCTGCACCTGCTCAGGCCACTTCTGGCGTCCACCATCGCCCTAATTCCTATGTTGTTGCACAACAGCGCCCTGCTTCTGAGATGAGTGGGTGAGCAGCAAATCGCATCGGGGCGCGTACGTCTGGGTCTCAGGTGTGCCTAGAGGCGCCACCAGCATCACAGTGCAGTCGTCGTACCAGCTGCTCCTGAAGCACAGCCACTGCACCAAGGCTGAATATCCGCTATTAATTCTCTTGATATTCAGTAGCGGATGCGTGTGTTACTGCCGGCGTTTGACAGTGACCCGGCTCCGTCGCTGGCGCACCTGTCGAGCTTGCCCTCCTACGATGTCACCCTCGCATAAATTGCTACCTATTCCTTTCCTTGATTATGTTCCGGTTCACCCTGAAGAGGTCCTTTCCAGATCGAGCTGGTGCCCTTATGAAGAAGCGCTGTGCAAACGCGGGTGACACGGACGGCAAGGCGGCGCGAACGCGATGAAAATTGCCCACAAGAGCTTATGCCTCGCCCGAACGACCTGAGGGCCTCTTCGCGTCTGGGACCTTCGGCAGCTGCTGTGTCAAAAAGGGAACTCGCCTAACAGGGCCATCATGGGCTGTGTGCATGTGTGCGACACCAGAGGCATATAGAGCATCAAACATGGAAGCAGGATAGTGTGTGCTGTGATTTTTACATATGCTGTGGTCGTATCTGCTGTGGATACTGTTGTAGATGCAGGTTGACCATCTGGCGCACCGCTCACGACTTGCAGCTTCCTGCACAAGCCCTTTGCCGATTTGTTCGTATTGTGGGGCACGAATGGTGGAAGGCGTGCACTACGCAAAACCAGATCAGTTGCTGGTACGTCCAGCACGTATTTGGCATGGGACCAGGCTGAGCCCGCTCAGGGAGGCGGGCGCGTCGGAGTCCAACGTCTTGCATCTTGCATGCACTTCAGGGTAGAATGTGGGAGGTAGCCGCGTAGCACGCGCGGCAGATGCCTCGCAAGGGGGAGGCATGTAGCTCCAAGGCAATCTGGGGAGGGACAACCTGGGGCAAGTGCTTGATACGAGGAGAAGCTGAGTCAAGGCGAAAATGCCTATGCTTGCATGCATGCACTTGCACACGGACTGGTCAAGGATCGGAGCACTGATCATTCTGGTGGACCCACCTTCAAGTGTTGGCATTTCCTGTTGAACACGTCTACCCGGACTGCCCCCTGGTACGGTAGGTGCTGCACGGCGGAAAGCATCAGGAGGCCTCACTCCATACCAGTCGCTGCTTCAAATCAATGGCCTCGTGCATTGCCACGGGACCTTTTGTAACCGCAGGTGACGTATACTGGATTCAAGCAAAGATATTTGAAGCCTTCACAGGAGCGCCTGCCCATGCAATTGTGGCTTGGGCGGCAACGTTATTGTCGGTAATGCCAACAGCCGATGCGCCCCCCCCCCCCCTGTCCTGTTGATTAACCACACTACCTTGGACCAGCACCGCGTATGCGTCAGTCTGTCGCACGCAGCATGCATTGCCATTTTGGAACCTGATGGTGACAATATGTCATGGTGGCCTCACTGCGGACGCCGCGCAAAGGTCTGTATGAGTCATTTAGTAGCAAACGCAGCCGCCAGGCGGAGGCTGGGCCTGGGCAGCTATGGCACCGCTTACACGCAGTCCTGGCTCCTCACGAAAAGACAGCGACATGAAGGCGACGATGGACCCAAAAAATTTATGTGTACTTGTATCCTTTGCGGCATGGACGCGCACCAATAGCAGCACGGTTGTGCAGAGCGTGGCAGCTTGCTCTTAGGCACTTCGTCATTGGCGCTTGATGCGGTGCTTGCAGCCTGCACGTTGCCCACATGTCATTTCATGACTCCATCCCTCGAACAGTCTACACGATGACCCGTGTTTTGTTGGTATTTGCAAGCCTGCGAGCACAATCACACAAGCAGCACCCAGCCGCCGCTGACGTGTGCTCAAGTGTTCAGGCTTTATCGAGGCATGAAGGAAATGCCCCTGCTTCTGTGCAGCCGCTCGCGCTGCTGTCGCCGCCGCTGACTCACACACGCGAATCAGCGTGACGATGCGTGTCGCAGGATAGGGATGCAACTGATGGATTGCCCCGCTGAAGGCCCCATCCATTCGCTATATACTCTGCTGCAGCCCAGGAAAGCATCATCAGGCCTTCCGATCGGCTATTGCACCCTGCTGTGTCGTGATCCTGGTGTTGCACACGCACTACAGAGTGATATGTGGACTTTTAAGTTGTTGAAGTGCTCATGGCGTCTGTGCTTGAGCTGATGTCACGCCAGGCTCGTCGTTTTGTTCGGCTTATGCGCGGGTGTGTGCGTGTGCCGTGTTTTTCCGATGCAATTATGCTTCTAGTCAAGCTGGATCCGTCGAAGTTGTGGCCTCGCACCACCTACCTGCAAATGAAGGCACTCCGGGTCACCGTTGCTGTAGCTATGAACCACCTGGGCGGGCACCTGCTCTCGCGGCCACGCTTGCCTTGCACCTCCACAACATACCGGTGTGCTCACCAGTGTACGATTGAAACCCGTGCACAAAGCACGAAAAATCCACCAAGGACCGCACGACAATACTAAAATCACCCAGGCTTCTAACACGGCACGGACGCACACAGCAGAGGGCTTACGCAGTCTTCCAGTATTATAAGGCTGATACACAGAGTCGGACCACCGCAGTGGACGGCCGGCAGGAGTGAAATCCGTTCGTCACGCGCATGATGACCGCGGCGCGGCACGCGTGGCTCCTAGCGTTCCTAATGTTGGGTGAGAAAAAGTGAAATAAGACGTAGATCCGCATAACCGGCAGGCAGAGCCTATCCGCGAAGCCTTTGGGCGGCAAGCTCTAGCTGCCTCGCCACAGCACGAACAGGCATTGGCGCAGCTAGCCGAGTCGCGCGCTGCTCGCGCCCCGCCTCGCGCACGACGCGCGAGCGGATGGATGTTCAGTGCTTGTGAAGCCTTGTGTGCGCGCAGCGGCGAGTAGACCATTCGTGCGAACCGGCGCTGCAGCTTCTCCTCAGCTCGGCACTGGTGGCCGGTCTGTGAATTCGCCCGGGCGCGCCGCAGCTGCTCCTGCCGCTTGTTGCGGCGGCGGCCGCTGCTGCCGCCGCCGACGCCCACACACTGGACCACCGGCACGTGCCACTGGTGCAGCTGCTTCGGTGGCTTCCCCGCCCACCTCGACCGTGCGGCTGCTTGGCAGCTGCGTACCGGTGGCTGCCGCACCTCCCTGCCAGCTGCCACACCCCCACACCGCAGCTCGCTCCCGCGCGTACCCATCCCCCCGCCCCACCCCCGGCGCCGCCACCTGGCCCATTCGCATCCAGGAGGCTTCTGGGACGGCGGCCCCGCGCCCGCGCTCGCCGGCCCGCCGCCAACAATCGGCGG